ACATATTAAAACCATACACACTACTCTTGCTGAAATTTATCCTCAACCCCAACATGAACTCAAACCACCTTAGAATAGCTTTTACCATGAGAACATTTTCTTTGTTAGCCTTACCAAAAATAACTGTGTCATCTGCAAATTGTAACAAAGAAACAACCAGCCCTTTCCTACCCACCTTTACCCCCTGTAGCATTCCTTCATTTTCTACTTTTTTAACCAGTCCATGCAATGCCTCTCCAACCATTAGGAATAAAAAAGGAGACAAAGGATCCCCTTGCCTGAGTCCTTTCCCCATTTCAAACTCCCTTGTCGGACTACCATTTACCAACACCGAAACCCTGGCAGTTGATAAACACTCCATAATCCACCCCCTCCATTTTTCTCCAAAGCCAAACACATCCAACATCCAATCCAAAAATGACCAATTAACACAATCATAAGCTTTTTGAAAATCAGCCTTAAAAACAAAAGCCGATTGCTTCCTCTTGCGAACCTCATCCACAACTTCGTTAAGAACCAAAACACTATCAACCAATTGTCGTCCTCCTACAAAAGCCGATTGCGTTTCGCTAATAATCTCTGGCATCACATCCTTAAGCCTATTAGCTAACACTTTTGCTAACAACTTATACATACAACCAATTAGACTAATAGGCCTAAAGTCTTTTAGATCCCTAGGGCTCAGCTTCTTCGGAATTAATGCAAGAAAAGAAGAATTCAACCCCTTCACTAACCTGCTGTTCTGATGAAATTCCCGAAAAAAAACAACAAAGTCATCCCTTACACTACTCCAGATGAATTTAAGAAAGTTAAAATTATACACGTCAGGCCCTGGAGCTTTACTCCCATCACAACTCTTCAAACCTTCTTTAATCTCCTCAACAGTAAAAGGCCTTTCAAGCCACACCTTCTGATCACTAGAAATTCTCCGAAAAACAAGATTTGAAGGTTTGGGTCGATTCCAAGAGTCTTCTCGAAACATCTTGCTAAAGTACTTAACCATCTCATCCTTGACCATATTCGGATCCTCTACCCACTGACCATTAGACCATAATCCCGAGATACTATTTTGGGCCTTCCTCCCATTTGCAATTTTGTGAAAATATCTCATATTCTGATCCCCCAATCTAACCCAATCACTTCTAGATTTTTTCTTCCAGATAGCCTCCCTTTTCCACAGAATATCCCATAATTGCTGGAAACCTTCCTTTCTTAGATCCACCTCCTCTTCCTCCAAATCTATCAATTCATTCTTCAAATCAATCTGTTCTACTCTATTGGCCACACTTGGAAATTGTGCTTCCATGTTTTTGAACACCTCTTTATTCCATCCTTTTAAAAATTCCTTCAACCTCTTAAGCTTTTGTTTACATCTATAACCCGCATACTCTTCCTCATCTAACTCCTTCCATTTATCCTCAACCGCCTTCTTGAACTGCGGGTGCTGTTGCCAAGCATCCAGCACTCGGAATGGTTTTGGTCCCCAATCAACTACCGTTGTTTTTACCACAATAGGACAATGATCAGACACAGTCCTCTTAAATCCTTGCTGCAGCCATCCCTTTATGTCTTTTAAGATATAAGAACAAAAATAGTTTCAATATTATTCAATAAATTTATGTCTTTTTTTAGTGTTAAAACTCATATAAGAGATTGCTAATTTTTTATTTTTAGTTGTGATTTTTAATAATTGTAAAATTTATAAAAACTAAAACACATAACTATACTAAACCAAGGTAAAGATATTTACTTGCTATCGTTGTTATCTTTTTTTTTTAAATAAAAAAAATTACAACTGTTTCTATAAAATTTATACGTTAACATGAATTAAGATTCTTGCTGCACACTACCATTCTACCTGCTGCTAGTGCTGCTCCATTGTTATCTAATCTATTTACTCTTGTAATAATTTTTTTTGGTTAAAAAGGTATTGCAGTGGTTGATTTGAACTTCAAATTAAGAAGACAGTTGGTAAATCAAATATGGAAATGGGGTCTACCTAACCATAATTTATAATGAAAATTAATAACGCTGCACCTAAGCAAATATCTAATCATTAATTATCATAAAGAGACAAAAACACTAGTTTTAGTGTTCTACATCATTCCTCTGTCACGCCCCCACCCAACCCCACCAGGCTTTATTTTCCTCCAACCATGTAGGTGCACATGCTAAGTAGGACTTTTGCCATACAGCTGTAACTGGCTTTTCTTCAAATCGCAAGTTATTCCACCTCAAATCATCACCATCCATTTGTCTGACTGGATTTCTATGATAAAGTCAAAAGTTTCTTCAAGGCTTGTGATTTAGGAGTAGTAGACTTTCGGGTATTTTGGTGGGACCCATATGTTAGATACTGTCTTGTGATGAATAGGTGGGATATTTGACCTAGGCACAATAAGACATGCCACATTGAAGAATTTAGCTAACAACCACAACCACATTAGACTAATGATTGGAACGTTTCATAATTTTTTTGAGAATAATGCCATAGTCACCATGTAAGGTAACAGTTGCTGCAGCAACCACAGGCAATGAAGGGCAAAGCATGTGTGCCCATGTGGAAAATGCCATCCAAATTTTGCCACAAATGAAATGGCAAAACTCAACGTATTTGCTCTTCAACTTTTTAAGTATATAGAACTTTACCTCTCATATAATATATGATTTTATACTCTCTCGATATGATTTTATACTGTCATAGTACTTGAATGTGTAGAACTTTACCCCTCACCTCACAACTTTAGGAGAGTATAACATCATAAACTCAAATATCATGAGGGTATAAAATCATAAAATTAAATATCAGTAGGGTATAAAATCACATATTATAAAGTAAGGGGTAAAGTTTCACACGCTCAAAAAGTTGAAGGGTAATATATGAGTTTTTGCCCAAATGAAATGAACAAAACTCCTGAAGATTTATACGAAGGAAAAATTAATTTAGCTAACAAAACATTAGTCAAGTGGATAAGGATTCGTTAGAGCTCTGCCGCTAAAGTCTATTATTGGCATCCCCATCGCCAATTTTTGAATAAGAAAATGGAAAAATTTTCAAATTAATTAAGACATTAATTGTTCAAGTGATTAAAGATTTGCTGGAGTTTTGCATTTGTCCTTAATTTTTAATTTTGTCAAAAACTTAAATTTCGCTCCGTGCTAAAAAGTGACTTATTTTATGTAAGATAAACTTTCCAACTACACCAAAACAAACTTTATACTCTTTAGGTAACGCTGCATTGAAGTTTTTAAGGACAAAATTCTGAGCAGTAGCTACAAGCAGTAATTTTTGAATTCTCAGATCAATTACTGGCATACTTATATTTTTAACAAAAACTAAATTGAAATAAAGGAACTAGGTAGGAAATTTATGTAGGTTTCAGGGATAAAGAATTTTGAATTCTCTTGTCTTCAATTACCTTTCTAATACTAATATTACTAAGGATGAAGGCTTTGGAGACTTCCTTTTCCATCAGTAATAAAGAAAAGTTGGTGTTTGATTCGAAATTTTAAAACCTATTAGTCAATACCAATTCCACTAGACACTTAATTTTTGTCTCTTTTGAGACTTCTAATTTACAATATTCTTACAAACATGATATAGGCAAAACAATGTTACCCTTGAGTTCTTTTCCCATAATTTAAGTATAAATAATTTTAATAATGTGATATGTTTATTACTTTTAGGAAGAGTTTTATCTAATATTTATAAATAAAATAATTTATAAGTATTTATAAAATTAATTGAGTTAAAAAACTGAATATTTATGTCATTCCAAATATATATATATATATATATATATATATATCTGGCAGGTACCTTTGTCAAGAAATGTAGTGAAACAATATTAATTCTGCATGTCTTTTTCTTTTCTTCCTTTTTCCCCACAAATTCCTCTTCTTTTCACCTTTACCCCTTTTTTCCCCTACAAGCTTCATTAAAGTCACAGTAAATGATTGCTAAGCCAAAATAGATCAAAAACATGTATATCAAATTTAATTTTAAGAGTAATAACATACCAACTATATACCTTACATTCACCTCTCATCTCCTTATATACATTTCAAAAGCATGTATACAGTACTAATTAAACATTAATTCCTTAACCTTTTGTTCTAATAATAGTAATGGTGCCTCTGCCTTGAGTGTGGATTCGGGTGAGGGCCACCACAGCTTTCCCGGAAAGCCCTGGTCCATCCGCAGATACGCATGGCCTACAAGCAAAGTCCCCCACAGGATGCCTCACTGGCCTCGTCGGTGGCATTAGTATCCTCTCGTTTATGTCGTTCAAAGTCACGTCCCCTTCCCTCCCTCCTGGCTTCACCAAGGCAAATGGATACACCACCCTTGTTATCAATCTTTTCTTCTTATCATTGCCATCAACATCTCTCCCTAAAACACACAAATTAACCACTTTGGGACATTTGAGTTAACAGTTTTCGGGATGGATATAAGAAGAATAATGATCATCCTTTGTTGTATAGTCTATAAATAATCGGATGTTAAAAAACACATACCAGTGTTAAAAAAGTACTTGGTTTTGTATGAGGAAGATGATGATGGTGTCTTAACCTCTGAAGCATTGTTTTGTTCCTCACTGCTTGCTGACGTGCTAATGGGTTCGTCTAAAAAGTCAAAATTATACAAATTGCAATAAAAACATAGAACCAAAATAAGGGAATATGTTAGATATAAGACATGAAAATGTAATTAATTACCTTGAACCCTATGAACATTTGTAACTATTTCAGACAGGTCCCAGTTGCAGCTAGAATTCCAGTAGCTCTGTAAAGACAGGGAAGCATTACTCTACTCGTGGGTGATAGTTTGAATTAAACCAGATATATTAAAGCTCGATGTAGAGATTATTACCTTAGAGAGATCATCTAAACGCCTTCGTTTTGATCTCTCACTGAATTCGACCAGGGCATCTTCAAGGTAGCCGGAGGAAAGATTGGAGTACTCCAGATGCGGAAGAAAGGGTGACGTTCCATCCATGACTAGAAACATATAATTCAGAACAAATTAAGCTTTATTGAAGACAGTCTATGGAAGAACCAGTTAAAGACAGAAACAGTGAAAGAAATTAAGAGAGAAAAAAAAGGAAGAAGAAAGAAATAAAGAAAGACATTTGATTCATTACCTAAAGACATGTCTGCGGTGAGAACTCCAAGGTTTTGTAGATCCCAACCTAGGGAAGGGCTAGTGTAAGTGTAAGCCATGGAGTGAAGCTCACCCATGTCCCTTTGTCTTCAATGGACACAGCCAACAATTGAGAAAAATGGTCCTATTTATGTTCAAAAATGAAAGGAGAAAGTATGTCTATGAGTCCCTATACTCTTAATGTAAACATAATGTAGTCCTTGTCTTTCAATTTAAACGAATTAACCAAGTGAGTCCACTTTTTTTCTTTTTTTCTTTTTTAATTTAGAAACAATAGTTGGTTTGATGGTATAAACGTATCAGAACAAAGTATCCACAAGTAGTGGCTTAGGTGGAAAGCCACTTAAGGCCCCCAAGTGGATATAGCCAAGTGCAATGTTTGATCCCTCCTTTTCCCTACTTGTGCTTCCATATAATAGAAAAAATAAATATAGGTTGTGTTTGAGATTGTTATAAAGTATTGTGGTTGTGACTTTTTCAATATTTTATTATAAGAAAAATTATGTTATTGTTCAATAATTACTTTGAAAATTATCTTATATATTAATATGACCACTAAATTATACAAAATGACATTTAAAATTAATTTAATCATAACCAATTAACATTTTTATAGAGTGTTGTGTTAAAAAGTGCTATCAAAAAGTAACCCCAAATGCTCTAATAAGGTGTGATAAAACTTTAATTTTGATGTAAATTTGTATACTTCATTTTATTTTATCTATTATAAAATCAAAGAAAATAATTTCAAAAAGTTATCTAGGAAAAACTTTTCTTTTGTATTGGGTGTTTGGGCACATGAATCCATTTCTCATAGACATAGAGCATGCACTATAACAATTGAGTTATTAACTTGGTTATAGTTATTTATGTCATCCTTTATAAAATATTGGGTTATATGATGAAAGACAAATTTGTTTCATTCCTTTACTCACCCCACTCATATGCTTACAATTAAAACCTATAATATGTCATTTCTATCAAAAAGAGATTACTATTAAACTACTTTTATCATTTTGGCATCACATCTCTTTTTTAATACAATAAAAATATCATTTCTCTTTTCACAATATTTCCTCTATAACTTAACAAACTTACATAATAGTACCATATATTATTCTTAACCCTCATACCAAGCTATATAATTTCAAATATCAAAATTACGCGGAGTTTTAAATTATGGGGGAGTTATTTACTCAATTATAGATAATTGGGGATTGAATTCTTTTTTCTTTAAAGAATAAGGACCATGGATGTACTTTTTTTCAAAAAGATAAAGTGAGAGGACTTGAATGGTTTTAGAAGAAGCAGTCAGTCAACCGCTATGGGAGAAAAAAGTGGCATTGGGATATGGGAAAAATAAATGCGTTATAATAGTACTATGTGGGGTTTGGTAAATGGGAGACTAAATAATGGCAAAGGCTATCATATCATTTGGTCTGTTTTGTGCAATGAAAAAGCAAGATTTGAGTAGTAAAAAAAAAGAAGTGCCCAAAACATGCCTGCAACAGTATACACAATTCAAATTTCAGCTTTTTCTTTTTTGCCTTCCCTTTTGATATGGATACCATTACTATACCACCTGTTTCTACTCTCTTTTTTTTTTCTGCTGGCACATTCTCATCCTTGTATTGTGGGGTCATATTCGGGTGATATTGGGCCCACTTCTTGGCATGCCGGTGGGGCCATGTAAATGTACAGGAAGAGAATGTGGGACCGGGACAGGGACAGTCCTTCATTTATTGGTGGAAGTTTTGAATGGTCTAAGCCAATTGGTCTAATTCCCCAAAAAAAAATATTACATCATGCTGACTGTGGGTGAAAACATCAGTAAAAACGCAGAAAGAGTGGCAAATGTCTAACACTCTTCTGAACATTTTTCATTTGATTGAGCAATGTGAAATATAAATTTAATATAATTAGTAATTGGTAATTGGTATTAAAATTAATATTTTAAAAATTAAAATTATAATTAATTATATTAAATTTATATTGTATGTGTTTTAATTACGTAAAAAATATTTTGAAAAAAGTATTAGAAAAAAAAGTTTTTTAATTTGTACTTTTTTATTATATTTTATGTTAAAATAATAAAAATTAACTTTTAAATTATTAATTATTTAGTTAAATTTATTTATATGATAATAATATTGAAATTAATGTTAATTTTTACATTTTTATATGAATTTAAGATAAAATGATAAAAAAAAATCTTTAAAAATAGAGTTTTTCTAAGCACAAGTTAAAGCCATTTTTTTATATTAATTGTTATTAAAAAAAATAAAAATTGATCTTTATTTATTCAACTATCTAATTAAAATAATTCATATAACATTGATGATAATATTAATATCAATTTTTTTATTTTAATATTAATTAATATAAAAAAACATTAATTATACTTTTAATTTGTACTTGACACAGTTTAAAAAATTCAAAAGAATATCCTTAGCATGAAGAAATTAGCAGCGGATCAGTTAATAAATGTTAGGACTTGGGGGTGGATGCCTTAAATTTATCGAAGAGAAACGAAGTTTAAAAATGGAGTTTAAAGTATGTAGCAGGCTGAAAGGGTTCCGCCGGCAACATTAGGCGGAAAAATGCAGTCTTCACTCTTCAGTCAGAACTCAGATGACGGTGGTTTGGTTTTTGAGGATATTTGGACATCGTTTGTGAGTATTTTGTCACGCTGTTGTTACAGATTATTTTTTAATATATAAAATATTAAATTAATTTTTTTGGTAAATTTAATGATATATTAATATCAAGAAAGCGTTTTATAGTTTAGTACAATATAAATCTTTAGATAAAAGTTAAGTTTTTTGGTATGAAACTCTCTTCTATTCAAAGATGTTTATTTTGTAGTTTGAATTGCAATCAACAAATTCTACTAGTAATAGAAGAATTATAAAGTATCTATGGTTTGTCATATAGGCAATGCATATAAATAATTAAAAAAGCATAACTTACAACATAAATAATAATTATGCTTTAAAATGATTTAGTTAACACATCTAAAGGACTAACAATCAAATATCTACATGCATATTATAGTCAGACATGAATTTTGAATATGATAGTTAAATATTTTTTTAACATAATTTATTTAAATATAAAACATTCTCACGTGGCTATAAAAATAACAATAAAGCTACATGATATAAATAATTACTTTTTAAACTTCTATAGCCACTAAATAATCTCATTTATTATATTAACTCACATAAACAATTTGGTATCACAACAATCCTCTCTACTATTTTACCGTATAAATATTATTGTTTTACTAACTAGAGGTCAATCTCAAAAAATTATTGCCTTCTTTTTTTTCTTCTTTATAGCCGTATGATAGTTTTAGAGAACTTTCACTACTAAAATCCTCCTTTTTAGCAACTAACTATTAGCGACATGGAATTGCTTGTCGGTGATATAGACTTTCACCAACAAAACTCATGTTACTAATACCTATATAACACCCAATGCCCTCAAAAAGTGAGCTCAACTTTCAGCAACAAGGAGCATATTGCTAAAAGTGAATTTTAGCAACAAAGATTATGTTGTGAAATTTTTTGGTGAGCTTAAACATTAGGAACATATGCCATGTTGCTGATGTTATATATCAGCAACATAACCCAAGTTGCCTTTATTCATTGACCGACAGCTACGTTGCTTATATTCTTCACAAACTCTAATTAGCAACATAGGTATTATGTTGGTGAAAGTGAGATTTACCGACATAATCTATGTTAATGATAATTGCAACCATACTATCATCAACAAGGAATATGTTGCTGAAAAATAACTTTGACTGGCAACTCCACCACCCATCATATATACACCTTTCTTGTGTCAATATATGCACTCCTTCCACACTTTCTAATTTTTTGCTATTTCTCCTTTACTCTTTCAATTCAATTCACTTTTTTCATCCCTACATAATTATTTTTATATTCTAATTTACAAGTAATTATTTTTAGAAATTTCAAAACTCTTTTTTACTTTTGCTTAATGGACAGTCAAGAATACTTTAACAGCCAATATGATTGTATAACTTTTTTTTTCTTTTCCTTCCCTTATTTCTCATTTCACATTTATGCACACCATTTACTACCATATTACTTAATTGTATGTGATTTTACATAGGAATTGTCGAGGATACTCCTGAATCATCTCTAAAAGAGTCGACTCTAAGTAGCACATTGAATCAACTCTACAAGGGCAAGATTCAACTCCAAAATTCCAAAGAGCAAAGAAGTTCTGAAGGCAAGGCAGAGTTGACTCTTCATAAGAAAAGTTGACTCTATGAAGCACACACAGTTAACTATACGAGGTCAAGATTCGACTCCCAAATTCTAGAGAGTGGAGTTGTTCTGGACGCAATTCAAGGTCGACTCTTCATCACAAGAGTTGACTCTATGTAGTAGACAAAGTCGACTATACAATGTCAAGATTTGACTCCCAAATTCCAAAGAGTGGAGTGATTCTAGACACAGTGCAAAGTCGACTTTTTAACACAAGAGTTGACTCTAGGCAGGCAGACAGAGTCGACTATGCAATGTCAAGATTTGACTCCCAAATTCCAAAGAGTGGAGTTGTTGTGGACACTAGGTAGAGTCAACTCTCAATGTGAAAAGTCGCTTCTCAATTTTAATAGTCAACTCTTAAGAAAAATATTTTATATTTCTATCTGACATATTTATGTAAACTCAAATATATGTCCACATTATTTTTTTAACTATAAATAAAATTCTACTAATGTAATTATATTAACTAATATATAAATGTTAAGTAATATTTAATAGAGTAATAAAAATCTACTAAGAAATTGAATTTTTTTAAAAAATTTAAAGTATATGAAACAAGAAATGGGTAGGAGATGGTAATTTAAAGTTTTAGCAATATGGTGCACATCAGTAATGAGTTATGATATTTCAAATTCCAACAACTTTTAGCAACATGGAATATGTTGTTGATTGGAGGCAAACCTTCTAGCAACATGAGACATGATGCTAAATTTTAAATGACTATATATATAATACTTACTAATTTTGGTTTTTTGTTTGTTTTGTAGGTAAATCTCAGTATTAAAGTAAATAAATTCAAGTTTTGAACTCTTC